TCATTCACATGCAACGATAGTAATTAGACAAATATCTAGTAACAAGCAGAAAGTATAATCATACTTCATTTGCAACCTTTGCGTTTGAAGCAAATAGATAAATATGACGAGTATAGTTTATTGTTTGAGCCTATTGAGCAAAGTTTTCATAGTAAAGAGCTATCAAACAAGTTATATGTTATCTTGGAGCTTATGAGCTTTAAGATGAAGTATTTTGTCACAAAGATCACATTGATGCATTCAATGATCTTGTGATTGAACTACAAAATCTTGTATAGAATATTACTGATGAGAAAAAAAAGTTCATAATCTTTTGAGTTCATAACTTGCATCATATCCATCACAATCATGTAAGTATGTGATAAAAAAACAATAACTTATAACAAGGTTGTAAGTGCTTCATATATTAAAGATCTACAATAAATTAAGGTATTGTTATTTATTTCATACTCTGTTTTTGATATGCCACAAAATGTCATTTGAGGTTGATTATATTCATGGGATGAAAAGTTTATGTTTTGAATTTAAGTACATATTCAAGTCTAGATGCAAATTTCTAAAAAGAAAGACAAAGATGTGTTAGCAATGTGTAAGCATGGTCACGTACAGAAGGACTATCGCGTAAAATCTAAATGTGCATATCTTCCATTAGCCAATGTGGCTCACGATTTTGATCATGAGGAGAATGAATTGTTAAAAGATGGAATATGATGCCTGAGGTATGTGCAATGCAGATCATAAAAAGCTCTTGATGATATATGAATTCTTGAAATTGCTTGATTTTATCACATTTGTTGAGTTTGAGAGTTTTTGTGTATTTTTTCAACATCAAACAAGTTATTTATATGGAGAAAGATCAAGTTTGTAAGATTGAGAATATTGGCTCTGTTAAAATTTTCATGTTTGATGAAGTCCAATGTATATTGACTAAAGTTAAAATATATATGACATGAGAAAAAACTTGATATCTCTTGGAATATTAGATTCAAAGTACCTTGAATGAAGCTCTAACAAAGAAATGCTTGAAATCAGAATAAGTGATAAGATAATCTAAAGAGTTCATAAGCACAACAATCCATATTTGCTAAAGTACACAACCATCTAGAAATTTAACTTTATCACATTTTGAGTTAAGATTTCTCATGTATGACACTCTAGGCTACGACACATGAGTAAAAGATATCTATCTCTAAGAAGAAATTGTTACTTGACATTGGTAAGAAATGATTCAAAGTTTTGCAAATATTGTATCATTAACAAAAATCATAATCAAGATTTTGATATTGAAGGTCATAATGACAAGGAGTTATTTGAGTATATGCATAATGATGCGTAGGGAATGTTTCAAAAAGCCTCAATTTATAAAATATTTTACTATGTATTGTTTATTGATAATAACTTAAGATTTAAGCATATTTATTTTCCCACAACAAGTTTGAGGTGTATACAACTTTTAAAAGTAACACTTAGATTGAACATAAGTTGAAATATTTACGTACAAATAATGGCGAGGGGTTTACTTTTGAAAAATTTGGAGTTATTTGCAAAGAAAAGTGGATTACTTGTTATGTAATCACAGTTTATATTTGACAACAGTATTTGTTTTTTTAAGGACTCAATCAAATTGTGTTGAAGATTATGTGTAGTATGTTGAACCAATTTGGTTTGCAATATGAATTTTGGGCTGAAAGTATTAATAATGTAGTGTATATGGTAATAAATTTTTATTCTAGTGCAATCAATTTCTTGATAATTTTTTAATTGAGTCACCAATGGATGGTTGATCATAGTTGTTTGAGAATTTTTGATCATAAAGCTTATACTTTCATATCTAAGTAGACTAAAATAAAATTAAATATTACATCCAAAAAAAATTTGTCATTTTCTCGAATATGCTAGTTGCGTGAAGTGTTATAGGCTTTATTATATAGTAAGCTCTAAACTTATTGTCATTAGTTTTGTTTCTTTTAATGAAACTAAATCATTGAAATAGAAGTAGAGTTCACAAATATCTTGGACTGACATGGAAATTTTTTTAATCATTGATGTTGTTGAGGGGGAGATTGATCATAATGTGATTAATGATGTGACACATGGAAAAGCTCATGAATAAATGGAAAAAATTCTTGAACAGTTTGAATTAATAGAGGGGTTTATTGTTGGTGAGACTCGAGTATCTTCATTAGACAATGAAGATCAACAAAATTTTTGATTGATCTACTAGAAGATCATCAAATTGTATTAGTAGGGATATTATAAGCTATGGATTGTGGGTTAATTTGTCTATTCTTGAAAATTGTGATATCGATACGGAGGATGGTAATGACGTTGCGTTGATCTTGGAAGAAGTAGAATTTTCTTTCCATGAGGATGTTCAAGTCTATGTCAATAAGCTTGAGTGAAATGCTCCTATGGAGCATGAAATGCGATTTTTTGTGTATAACTAGACTTGGGAACTCATGGATCAATTACTGGAGAATGTTATGTATTTAATGATGTGCACAAGGCCTGATATTGTTCTAGCTATGGAAAAAGTGAGTAAATATACGACGAACTCAATGAAGTTGCACTGAAAAGTAGTGAAATGAATTCTTAAGTATTTGAAGAATACTAATGATTCTGGTTTATTAGACAATGCAAAAGCCTTGTTAATTTACCATAATGATGATTATGTACAAGATCTGTATCAAAAAAGATTCACAATTGAATATGTCTTTATGCTTGACGGTGAATGCATTTGCACAAGTGTGTAGCTCAATCTCCCACAGATTTGAGTATGTAACGGCAACGAAGCAACATAGAAATCATTTAGATTCAATAAGCTTATCACTAACATACAATTGAAACATGTGGGTTGTCAATCTTCACTATGATGTTCATAGTGCATTACATCTTGTTGCAAATCAAGTAATGCAAAATAGAATGAAACACCAAATATCACTTTACCAAATATACAGTTCATGATAAAAGTATTGAGTTAATCAAGATTGATACTAAATTTAATATAGTTAATGCATTGAACAAAGTTATTCATTTGAAGAATTTTAGAATGTTTTGCATGAATAGAATAAGTAGAGTTCTGTTGAGTTTGATTATGATTTTGTTCCGATTATCTTTAGTTCAATGAATAGCATGTTGTTTATTTTCTAGTATTGTCAATAAATAATTATAGAATATAAGGAGTTTGAAATCTCCCAAAATGTGTTCATGAGGAGATTGTTAGATAAACTCCTCGTAGATAAGTTTTTCTTCAATTTAGGGTTTGCAAAGACTTATGCAGTATTCTAGTATTAGGGCTTTTCCGTAGGATGTTGGTGTATATTAACACGAAGTATATGCTCGTAGCATGATCTTTTATTCTTTATAAATGATTTTAGTTTTCTTTCGTAGTTTGTTGGCAATGCATCATCTTAACTGAACATTCATTTGAATAATCATTTCTTTGAAAATTATATTGATGTGTAGGTTTTTAAACTAGAGTTTCTTCTCATCATCATTATATAGAATATAAATATTTGTTAGATCATAATGCAAAAAATTAGATTTATATGACTTAAGATACATAATTGAAATTGTGTATAAATAGAATTAAATAAAGATCAAAATTTTTCATTTGATTCTATTTCTTTACTTTTTATTCAGTTTGTTTTCTTTCAAAAAATTGAACATACATATTAAAAATTTGTTAATCTACAAGATTCAGATACTTGACTTATACATGAATCAATTCTATCATGTAACATGAATGTATATAACGGAAAATCTTCATTCTTTAATGTTATTGATAAGAAATTTTATTATATGTGTAGTAAATTATGCATTTTAAATGCACAAAGTGACAAAAAGTGACCCACTTTGCTAGAAATCTTATTAAATTCGGAAAAGAGATTGGATTGGAATATTATACTTCATCTCTTGTTTATCATTTAAAAAACGAACTTGACGTGCATGTAGTTTGTATCCAATTGTTATGAAAACGACAGGAGTCGGATTTGTACATGTTAACTCATACCGATACTGCATGCTTGTTCTTGAGCTCTCGAGAATTGTAACTCCTGCAATTGCTGGTCAGTTTCCTTATTTCTTGTTATTGTGTCACCGTCACAGCACAATTGGAACTCCTTTCTAATTGTACATGTGCGCGAAGAAGACGAGACGTAATGTCTCTTATGTCTATCATTGGTTACCTCACACCTCCAGCTTGGAATTTTGGAACGATCCTGGGTTTAGGAGAGATAGTTTGCGGCGCGGTTTGATGGTTGGTATTCAAGGTGGGTTCCAATCTTGAATTGTGAGAGTGATGAAGAGGTTATTGCCGCGATTAGTGACACATTGAAGGTGTGGCGGGGATTGCAATCGGTTTGAGAAGAGAAGTCCGAAATGAGATGTAAATTCTTCGAATTGCAGACGTGCTGCACGGAAACCTGCGGCATTGTCTTTTCGAGTGAATTGTGGCGATCTGAGGATGTTGTAACGAATTTTTTTTGCAAGAACAGGGTGACGTGCAGAGATTTGGAGGAAATCGAAAGAAGATGCTCAAAGCGTCCGATTTCGAGGGCCCGAGTCAAGTTTGTTCATCGCTTTGCAGCGTCGGTTTTAGGAATTGTGGGCTGCGAACCGGAATGAATGAAGAATCCACCGTGCAATTCTGGTCTCACACACGTAGGATGCACACTCGAGATTAGATCTCTCGTTTCATGCGGAGAAGTTGAAGGCACGATGAAAAAGGAGCTGAAAGGGGGGGTTTGCTCTCGATACTGGACGCAGTTATGAACGCGCCCCTCTCATCACTGTGGTGAGTTCAATGTAAATTTCATCATTCTTACACACAACCCGAATGCAAGCAATCAAAGTGTAATTAGTCGAAATCTTTGAATCAAGGAGTAGGTCTCGCCAATATTCATCATCAGCAGGATTTGTCTGTTGGAAGAGACGGGATCGATACGTTTTCATGGATACTGCAGTACTTCTTTGAATAACAATTATTATTCGATGGAATTCCAACGGCCAACGCACTGAATTACGAGCTACGAATTCTTAGATGACATTATTGATCACTGATGGTCGTGAATGATAATAACCATCTTCGTTCCTCACTTGTAATCGAAATTGCAATCGCAGCGGAGTTACTACAATTTGCTTGGTTATAACCTGAGGTTCACAGGATGGTTGTGCATCAAGCATGTGAAGAGTATGGTTGTAAAGACTATGTGGACTTCAAAGGCATGTCATTTCGGACACTGAGGAAAATAGCCATCATATTTTCTGGCAGTGACTTTGGCTTTTGGCGGAAATGACAGAGAAGTTTTGCGGATTGTAGAGTAACAGTCCATAGCAAACAGGGAAACACATAGCTTTTACTTACAGCCTTTTGACCCTTTGGGTCCCACGGGCTTGATCTATTTACCATTTACCATTTACATGAAGTCGACTTGCATTGGGGAAGAAAAAGCATGATGGAATCTGAAGCATGGGTAGGATACATAACCTGGTCTAACTTTGATTACGTCACCTTATTCGAACGAAAGGGTACAATTTCACCGCACGGCTTACTTGAACAGCCAACGATTGATCAAAATACTAGAAGTGAAATGCATGCTCGTAGTTAAAATTTGGACTGTGAGTGGCCTCTTACACTTCCAGTTGGCTCTCACAGTAAGATCTAATGCACTTCTTCCGCAGGAAGACGAATTAAATGGACGAGGAAATGCGCGAATGTACGAAAACGCTTTCCTCGGAGTGTAGAAAGCCTAGACATAATAATCTGACAATTATCTGGTCAGTTCAAATCAATCTACCAGTAGTATCGCACAAGAGGGCAGCATAATTTGTTCGGCTGTTTGATCAAGTAGTACGAGTCTGAAAAGTCAGCATCGCGTTTTAGCATTTAGTGTTTCCTCGGTTTGTCGGCAATCCAAGACTCTCATATTTCTAGATCCGACCTCATTGATTACATCAACCATAGGGTTCTTGTCCTGCTAGATTGGGCCTTCGTCACCCTGTTTTGTACTGTTTTTGGGTGTGCTACCTGTGGCCTGTTATTTATGCTAGAGGTCAGGTATTAAAACTGAGTGATGGATCGTGTAAGAAGAAAACGGAAGACCTGCTGGATGGTTGTTGGGATATAAACTTTTATACTGATTGTTGATGAGATAGCACTATCTGGTGCTAGATTTTAGTGGTGAGGCTGTCGAGTACTGACCGACGAATTCTGTGAGAACCAGACCTAGCACAATCTGCTCGTTGGTGTGACTTAAGTAGTGAAACTGCGGAATTCCGAGTGACTGACAAATCACAATTCTCTGTGTGATAAATAATGAAACGACCGAGTTCTGATTGATGAGTCATTTGAGAATCAGGAAGTGCAAGTGTTGTAGGCCATTGGCCGTTGCATGAATGAGCGAGTAATGATTTGATGCATCGCATGGAAAGCAGACAACACAATCTGGAGGGTAATTCCAATTTATTAACTTGTGCATCCCATGAGAAGGAGGAGTCTGCACAATGTGCTAGTTGGTGTGAATTAAATGATGAAACTACCGAGATCCGTGTGGGGTTTCAGGCGAGAGGTATGCATAACAAATTCAATGCATCCTGTAATATGCTGGATATATAGTCTTACCTTCTCTAGTTGTGTCGCCACATTGAGTACTGAGTGATTCATCTCATGAGAATCAGACTTAACACAATGGTTGCCCATTGTGACATAGCTGTTTGCCTGAAACGACAGATGTAATGCATGTAAAGCAATTATACACATTCTAGAAATCGAGTTTCCAGTATACAACTCATGATGTGCTTTAACAAAAAATTGTGCAGTTATGCCAGTAACAATGTAACACCGTGACAAGTAGTTCCTTACCACATATCACAATTGGTTTCGGTTGCGTCGTGTGACATAGCTGGTAACATGTAACCACAGAGGAGTGATTCAGAAGCATGATATAACACACTCTGCAACTGGTTTGACATGTGTGGATGCTTGAAATGACTGAGTAATGATTGATGCGTCTTATTAGCAGACATAGAAGAACGTGGTACACCACATTGTTCTGTGTCTATGTCTGTCTGTGGTGACATAGGTGGTCGTACAGAACGTTGAGTAGTAATTGATGCAACGTGGGTGATCACTTTTGACGATCGTTTGTGTGACCAATGAGATCATGTGGTTAATCGGAACCAGATCCATGAATCATCTCATGCTGATTTCTTCTACTGAAGAAGTGCTAAATGCATGTCGATGTCATTCTTTAGTAGGCGGCATGTATCGAGCTGAACTTTCAATTCTGTAAGTTTCGTGTGCAGTTTTATTAGTGGACATTTTCAACAAATGGGTCATTAAGTTCCCTCTTATAAAGTTTTAGCAGGGAGCTTGGTGAGACATTCTACTCATGCGGTTAACTGTGGTTACCCGGGATGGAGAGAGAAACTTCATCATAGAATAGATGATGTTCAACCGTAGCAGCAAGGGGAGGATCAAGTCCGTGTAAACCATAAGGCAGAACCAGTTGTCTAATTAATGAGCCTGGTTTCCGAAAAATCTCTGAAGGATGAGGAGTTGGTGCTCCTCATCCTATTTCGTCGTGAAAGGTTTCCAATCTTGATCGACTATACACCGAATTTTGTTCCAAACTTTTGTAATTATACAAGAAATGTGAAAAAGCTCAATTTGTACTTTGTGTTTCTCACTTATTAACGCGAAGGCGTACGGATACAGGAAAACATCAACTGAAATACGGAATAGTTTGGCAGAAGTACAGCACGGTAAGATGGTAACAGGTAACGAACATATTGGCAGGTACAAATGACCAGACCAACTGAACGAGTCAGCTTTCCCAGAGTTTGCGCTGTATAACTCTAGAGAAGGTCGAAATGGGCACGAAGGGTATGGTTGTGTTTGCTAGATGTTCTGTACCCTGGATAGGTGCTCGTCAAGTGTGTTCTCTCCCGTTGCGTATTATTCTGGTTCTGTCTAAGTTGTTTCCTGGCTGGAAGTCTTCTCGGGGCCATCGGATAGAGGCATCGGACAATGCGAACCAACGATCATCGCCAAGGAATGAAGAGAGATATAAGAACTTACCGGGTACGACTGTCTCGTATGAGTGCTTTCAGATGTGTCGTGATGCGAATCTAACTTTTTTTTGTTGTTGCATATTTAGGATATCTACCATGTCTAGTATAGATCCCTTGACTGGGGATTCTCTTAAAGGATATATAGCTAACGTGCCGAGATGGGCCTCAAACACGCTACTAAGTTTTTTCGCTCGTGTAGGCTTAAGTTTTGGATGCATATGTTCACTCTGATATCCTTTTTGAGTTTTTGTCGTTCATCCGTCCGGCTTTTCTTAGCTGCCGTGATCAATGTAGGGTTGTACACATAACTCATCATTCAGATTAATCAGTATTACGGCCAATTTATTTAGTGCTTTTTGATCTTTTAACTTTTGAAGTCAGTCTATCATGTTCCTTTAGCCGTTCAGTCAGATCTTAATATTCAGTAAATCTATTTGCAGTCTGTATATCAGCTCCTGTAGATGATTTTGATTCACTTCATTGTGTGATGTGTCAACACTCCTGGGTGCAAGACCGTACCAGCTTAGAACAATATTTGATCGAACAGTTTACCACATTTTGTTGTAACTTTAAACTGGCAAAGTCCTTTTTCTCAGTATGTACCTGTTTTTTGTCAGCTGTACCACTTAGTTGCAGCAGTTTGATGAAGTTTCAGAAAATGCAAGTATGTAATATGTAGTTTCGCTCCTATTGCTTGTTAGACTCTGCACCATCGCTACACGATCATCTCTTCCAATGATTCACGCCGGCTTCTAGGCCTTGTGTTAAGGTGTGGCAAGAGTACTGTCCTTGCTATACTCATATCCTTCGTAGAATGGTAATTCCTGCCCTTTGTAAGACTGTTATCTTCAAATCTATCTTGCTTATCAAAGAAATGCCGTGCTATCGGTATTTTAGACCTCTTTAACATCTCCATCAGCATGATCCTTAATTCAACTATGCCAACTGTGAAAGACGAAGGATACAACTCCAGTCTGCCTACCTGATTCGGTGATACCGCTCTGAAAGGGGCCTCTCCTGATTCACCTTCCTCTGTCGATTCCCTATGTTCAAAGTTGTCGGCGATTACAGTTATGAACAATACCTTCGCAGCCTATCCTTCCTTTGAGCAATGGACAGTTGACACACCAGCCTAAGAGAAAACGAATTATCAAGTGAAGAGTGAAGTGGGTTGATCTAAGTGCCTATTGCTGGTAACGTCGACTCTTAACTGCAACCTGTTACAGTTTCACATTGCGCTAAGAATGGATCAGTTATAGTCGATCGAAAGAACAGATTCGGAATTTGGGGAGGTTTATATGCCGTGAACACCCTCGAAAGTTTATTATTTGCTTTGTAGCGTAATTATGATCACAGGGTCGAGAAATTTAAGCAGGAAGCATTCTTGGCTTACTCTTATCGTATGATGTATTGGCTTTCTTTTGCCGGTAATTTGGTAGTACCAAGGCATTAATTTGAGTAACACGTTTGTATTGTAGATGTGTCAGTTCCAGCAGATTTGAAAGACCTATAGGTGAACATTTTATGCAGTATGCTGGTTGTCTAAAGACTCACCAGGCTTGCTGTCATGTTTTCAGTTGCCTTTTCGGTTCTTAACCATTCGAGGGAGATTGATATGAAGTTTTTGGTCCACTATTGGATGCTACTTAGGTTTGCTTTGAATGTGTGACCAAAAGAGAAATGCATCGTTCCATTGTGGAAGTATCCTTTTGGTTGTTGTGATAAAATTCCTAATCCGATTTTCTGATGGAGATAACGGACTGGCCTGTTTTGCTATTGTGATGTAGATCGTCTGGCGACATTTAACGATGACCACTTCAACCTCAAGTAGTTATGAAAGAGCTCGAGCACGTAAAAGAGTAGAAGCTAATCGTAGGAGGTATTTTGGACGTCGAAGTAGCAATGGAGGTGGAGGCAGCTGTAGCAGCAGCGAAGAAGAAGAAAGAGGTGAAAGTAGTGCTCGAGATTGTCGGAAGGATGGGGGAAAGGAGTATCGAAGAGCTTCTCACGGGGAAAGGCGTAGGAGCAGTAGTCGTGACAAGAGTAAGAGAAGGAAGAGGAGTCCGAGTCCAAGTCGACCTGAAAGAAAGAAAATTAGATGCAGAAGTGACAGTGACAGTCCACATTCACATTCGCGGAACAAAACTAGTCATTTTCACGGTCACAGCCAGTGTAAGTACAGTTCTTTCCACAAACGTCACTGGCACAGATCTGGAGGCAGTAGACATAATAAGTGTTGCTGTTTTTCTTACTACTATTCAGAAAGGGAGAACAGGGTCTGTTCCAAGAGGAAAGAAAGGGATAGCATCTCCCCAGTACGCTCTGAAGGAGTAAGACATCACCACTCTCGATCAAGGGAGTCGGTTTTTCACGGTTCTAATAGCAAGTCTCCACGGACTTCGAAGGTTAGGACGCAAACAAGTTGTGATGTAAACTATTATCAGGAAGATGCCTATCTGCGGGCTGATTCAGACAGTCCACGGAAAGGTAGCTATCTTGGCAACAGTGCGCTGATAGGCAAGCTTCTCAGTAAAGAAGAAGCTCAAATGAAACGCACAACGAAGTCGTGGGATGACAGATGTCGAAGAAACCCTGTACTTTCGTTACAGCAGCCAGATCCCGATTTGAAAGAGGAACGTAAGTCCAGTGTTGGACTAACTGACGAACTTCTTGATCGACATGGAGACTGGCTGAAGCCAAGCCCTCATGCATATTACAAGAAAGGTACTTGTCTGAGTTCAATATCTTGCATGTTATAAACTTCAATCCAAGGATTGCTGCTGCCTGCTTCCCTTTCCCACAACTATCATCCTGGCTTTTGTTCTGGATACTCTAGGCATGTCTGTTCTTTGAGTTCGTCGATTTGTTCAGTTGGAAGCTCTACAACAAGTCGGGCCTGTTCTTACGGCCTCACAGTTCCTATCCCTCGGGTTCTCCGTCAGATGGAGTCTCTATGGTGGTACCTCACGGGTCTGCCTCTGGCGTAAGCTTGCGTGTCCAGCCCTTGCGGTTGATCACATGTTATTTTTATTGTCTGAATTTCTTAACCTGGATGAGTTAAGTTGGCTGCTGTGAATGTTCAGAGCACTCGGGTTTTACTAGAGACGATCTTAAGCTGATAAAGTTTCACGTGGCATTATCGGCCTTAAAACATCACACTGGACCTCTTGACCGAAGACTGCTGAGATTGAATGTCTAGGTTAGAGATCGATATTGTAAGTGTCTGATGGCTGCTTTTTGTTGTCTTTAGCTGTGACAACGGTTATTGCTTCACTATAAATTACAAATATATTATGTCCACTTAGAGATAGGATAGTAGTGGCCGCTCTAGTTTAATAGAGTAAAAGAATCGTGGCGTGGAGTATTGGCTCCTGTACTCGGCCACGTCAACATCCGAATAGGCGCCGATTCACAAATTTTTTTTTATGGCATTCAATCCTTGCTATTATGATGTCTTTACATAGGTCCTTGACTGGTATATGGTGTCTCTTGTAAAATGGACATAAACGTATTTTATATATTTCCTACACAAAATTCTGACTTGATGTTAATCTGCTACAAAATACTTGTATCTCTCTCTGGTTTCTGCATTCACATGTGTCGATCTATTACTAGTGCTGCTTTGACTCGTTTGTATCACGTCCAGCGCCATTTCCTTTTCTGCTACCCGTTCTGTTTGTTTCTCCTCATGTGCAATTCTGCAGGTTCTCCATTATAGTTACTGACCCTAGGACATTAACTTTCTCACGTATTTCGTATTGCATTGTTACCGCTTCCTTTATGAACCAAGATTGACAATGCACTTGTCGCGGGTCTTGCAGATCAACTACTTACACCGGGTATTTTTGCAACTGATGAAAATGATTGGCTCGATCTTTCGTTGAAAGCTCCAGCTAAACCTACACCGAAAATCGAGGGAATCAGTCGAGAAGACCTTAGTTTGTGTTTCAACTCATCCGTGATGCCTGCGCCAACTGTTGCCGGTGCTCTCAAGGATGCTGAATTGGAAGGACATAGTGACGTTAAGGCCATGTTGACTTCAAGCTACAAAGAAGGTTTTGAAGCCAGTTTGCGTAGTACTTCTTCATTTTGTTCAGTCCAAGCAGATGTGCCGATGTTGAACATGTCTGGAAGAAGAAACCTTTTCGATGTCGACAGATCGGGTGATACTACGATGCAGGTGGATGCCACTTTTAGTTTAAATAACACCAAGATACCGCCTCCTTTACACCGGGACCGTATTATGAATACCTTTGTGTCTCCTCTAGAGAGTGGGTCCAGGACGAAGGAAGAGAGGTGCTTAGACCTTCTTAATCAGCTCATTTCTCTGAGTAGAGGGGATGAAGAGACGGTGGTTAGCGTTGATACTAATAATACAGTGAGTGGCTCTTTCACTGAACAACTTGCCGTTACTGCTTCTGATAATCATGAACAACATACAGACAAAATTATCAACGTTTCCACAGGTGCAGGAATGTGTGTTAGTGTGATAGAAATTTCGAATTCGACATCGACCGAGCAAATTGATGTAGAAAGAGCGGAGCCGTCTGGATACAAGGAAGTCAACTCCATAGATTGTTTTACCTCGGTGAAGGAGAAAGAGGAGGTTCTTGTTAAGCAAGATATACCAGCCGCCTCAATAGAACCATATCCACAGTCTCAATCACCCAGTCCAATAAAATCTCAGAAAACTTCTTTACGTTTACCTCTTAAGCACTTAGTAGTAGAACTTTCAGACTCCACAACGAATTTGGAAGATGATGAAGAACGGGAGATCGAGGTACAGTCGCAGCCTGCTTCGTCATTACCTGTCTCTCAGTTGAATGAATTTTCAGGTAGCCCTGACCAATGTCTGAGTCCAGATTTGAGGGATCTATCACCAGTACAAACAGTATCCTCTCATCGTACTTCTGTTCCTGTGTTTTCTAATGCAGCAGCAGAAGGAACTGACAAAGACCGGGTTCTCGATTTAAGTGACTTAGATCATGCCACTGATCTGTTCATTGAAAAGGTCCACTCTTTATTTATCCACGGTAGACCTCATTCACCGTCCATGCCTGCCAGTTTTAACCACTGTCCATCACCAAAGAAGAGTATCTGTCAGCAACCTGAAAATAAGCACAAGAGTTTAACAGACGAATGTCCGGTTTCCAGACCCAAGACTCTTGAGATAGTCGAGCTATCAGAGTCGTCACCATCCTCATCTTCCTCATCAGAGTCTGACAGTGACATAGAAGTAGCGTTAAGGACCAAACGGGCAGGTTTCATACCGGAGAGAAAATTTAAGTCTCTCGAACGAGATGGGAATACTCATGACTCTGCAGATATCGCGCACGATCATTCAATTCAGTATCTGAATGAAGATGTCGTGTGCTGCTCTACCAAACCTCCTCTTAGGAGAGGTAAGGGTTCCTATGGAGGAGACCAGCCGAGTCGAGTCACTTATATCCGCGACAAGCATGGCAACCTTATACAAGTTGTAGAGGTGGGCGACTCTGACAATGACAACGATTGTGAAGAGCCGGACACCAAGTCATGTGCGGGAGACAAGAATGATGAGTCCTTCAGTAGTCACCCTGAAGTTCTACCTGTTATTCAAGAGATCAAGGAAATGTTACAGGGAAGCGCTTCTTACAGCGACAAGTCAAGTGAACATGATGATCTCTCAGGACCAAATTCTCATCCTGTTCTGAAGGTGAGGCCATCGGGACGTATTCAGATTCGTTCTCGAGAGCCCTCTCAACGATTAAGATCACGGAAGTTGGTATTGGAAGGAAGTGAGTCACAGGAAAGTGATGAAGATACAGAAGCCACCGGAAGAACTTCGGCTGTAAGTTCCACGGGCGGTTTTAAGCATCGGGAGAAGTGGAAGAGAGGCATTGTGTGTGATCTTTGCAGTGGAGGACCATCCCTTGCGCTTGGAGAATGGTATTGCTGGTGTTGTGGTACTCCTGCAACAAAATGCCAATGTCCAGAAGATAAAAAAGTGTATGTTCCAATCGCCACATTTGCTCTCTGTGGGAGGTATATGCTAATGTATATAAAGTTTTGTCGATTTTGTAATATTGGAAGACAATAGCTCTAACCCGAGCGGAAACGTGTAAGGAGTTTCTATGAACTTTCTGGTGCATATTATTATGGAAACAATATAACCATATGTATTGAGTGCCACTTAATACGTCATGAAAATTTATGCAAGAATCGCAACTGGGCCCCTTTGTGATCCTACGTGTAAATTTGTCGTTGGGGGCATATGTGCACCGGTTGAATTCCCATTTGTGTTGTCAGCCTGATATCTGGACACACCATAGGATGGAATTAGACTGGACTCAGGGCTTTGGACCTAATTGCGGTCCCAAGTCTGGGTCAAATTCGCGGCATTTGAACTTCAAACCATCTTGTGGGTCATCCGCAGATGACCCAGGACGATTCAGGTCCCAATTTTACACGATCAGCCTCAAAAGTCATACATCCCAACCTCTGTCAGATTATCTGTTTTCGATGTGTCGTGGAATTGGTGTTTAAAGTCCCTTAGTTTCAGATTGGGACCTTGGGTTGGTCCTCGGCTTTGCACATCAGCCTTCAATGTTAAGCATGAATTAGTACACATTAAAAATGCCGCTGGATGCAGGTATCGAAACCTTCTGGGAATGAAGCATATTAAGGACTTTTGTTGCCGATTTATGTTCACTGATTTGGATGTATTTGAGCTATTGAACAACCAATGTTTAGTGGGGTCTTTCAAAGTCTGACGAGCGATCACGTCTTCAAAATGTGCAGGAGGAAACAGTTGTCCCTAGGTTACCGGAAAGGGCAGAAGCAGAAGAAGAGAGGTAGGCAAATCCTGGATTATCAGTGGAGTGGCAAGGTGCACAGAATGTGTGCTCTGTGGTCTTCCGAGGTACGTCGTAGTTCTTTGTTGTATTTATCAAAACATAATTGTTCGCTTGTCCTTGATGACGAACTTTTCCCGGAAATTTTTACACATCATCGTCATTGTGATGTCAGAAAAGTAAAACATATCCATGGCAAACCAAAATACTCACGGATGTTCAATCATAAGTTTCAATTTTTTAATTTAAGATCTGTCATTCCGTTCGTCTAGGAGTTTTAGACATAACTATTTAGGGTATTGCTTGCAGCACACAGGTCAACTTTTGTGGTTATCGGAATCTGTTTCATCTTTTTAGTGAATCTCTCGTTTTAGTGGCCTTCTTACATTTACTCCAAGGCATAATACCCTCGCCCATTTTGGCTATACTACTTGGAATCTAAAATTCAGTTGCTCGTATCTTACAGGTGTACGTCAAATCCAGTCCAAAGAAAGAGCCCCACTTTGCTCAGCTCGACACCGCAGTGAAGCGTGGGAATACATTGGTAAATCTGAGAAACTTCTTTAGAGGCAGTTAGTGGCTGGCTTATGAAATCGTAGATCTTGCGATTCATCTGAGTAAATTTTCAGAACGTTCCCAGGGTGCACTTTCATACGCTGTCGGAACGCTTTCTGTCGATAGTTTTGAGTTTTTTATTTTTATGACTTGGTTTATATACTTTTTCACAGGTTTGTAAACACCCAGACTGCAAGAAAACTGGTGCAACACTGGGCTGTCGAGTTAGAGCTTGCAGACGAAGTTTCCACTATCCTTGCGCGGAAAAACTAGCCAACCAGTGCATGGTGCGGATGTGGGATGGTGCTCTTGTACCTGTTGCTTGTCAATATCATCGGCATATCGAGGAACAAGCAGAAAGGGCCAAAGAAAAATCTCTAAGATCAAAGATTACAGACCCTGTCAGGTATTGTGCTGTAGACTCAGTAAATAATGGTTATATGTAGTTCAAATCATCACAAGCTTTCCAATTTTCTTCAGGATTATTTTAATGAATTGTTGGAGTCTCACTGTGTATCTTTTTCCTGCAGAGAGGGTAAGATGGTAGTTGCTGCAGAACGACCGTATATAGGAGTCAAGCTTCTTTGTGAAGATATCGCGGAAGGCCAGGAGCAAGTTCAAATCCCCTGTACAAATGATGTGGACGATGATCCTGCTCCCATTATTCGATATATAACGAAGTGCTGGTATGATTCGCAGTCCTATGAGCATCAGACTGGGTTTTAATCTTTTCTTGTTGTGTGAAATTTGTCTGAACGTATATGCCCATGTTTAGACGATCAATACAGCAACTCGCCTGCAGCACAGGTCCCTCTCTTTTTTGCCGACAAAGAAACCTGTATCTTTTCCAGGTTCCTTTTTTCCTTTGTAGATCTCGGTAATGCTGTTGTTTCTCCAGCTTGGTTGTGTCAATCGCCTCTGCCAATTACATTCAGCTGTCATGCCATCTGTTGTTTCCTGCAGGTTCAAAGGTCGCCCAGTAGATCACTTGCACCCTGTGGGCACAGAACTGGCGAAGGGCTGTTATGGTTGCTATGGACCCAACTTTGATAACCCTCATAGCCTTATGCCTCCCCATGTCATGGGCGCAGACAAAGCAAACAGGTCTCGTGAAAGTGATAACCGTCTTGACTGGCAAGGAGAGCGTATGTATGGTCGTCTTCCTTACAATGCTGCTGGTCTCTTGCAGGTATAATATACTTTGAATCTATATATGTTCTTATGCATGTCTTAAGATTTTGAACGGTTTTGTGTGTGTATCGTCCAATGTGTACTCCGTGAAACTCCCTTTCCTGTTATGGATCGTCCTTACTGTTCTTCCAAGCCATGTCCTGTCCATCATCCAAATATCTTCTCTCAACGTTCCAGTTTTCGTTGTCCCTCTCCTCTCACTTTTTCAGGTCTCTATGCTCGAGTGTTGCGCTTTGCAGGATTTGACGAAGTATCCTTCTGTTCCAGGATATTATGGTGAATGTGGAAGTATGTTGTAGAAAGTACAGATGCTTTGGTCTAGATGTTTAGCTGGTATGTTTGTCCTCCAATTTTATGCCCATCATACATCAGTTTGTTATTCTATCATTCCGCTGATCGACTCGATGGCTTCAGGCTTAAGATGCATGGATCTTAGGATATAGGGTTTGCATATTTCTACATGGGGTTTAGTCGCAGTCTCTGTTCATGCTTTACTTACAGGACTTTTTCATTTTTTGATATTTCAAATGGAAGTAAATAGAGTCGACTTTTTTCATACCTGGCATTTTTTGTGGACTATCGCTTGTATCAACTTAATGCTTCTAGAGTTCAAACTTTATTCGAATGAATGTTCTCTTAGCTGTAGAGAGATATGTATGTTTTGAACTATATGTCAGTGTTCCTGTTCTGCTTACTCATTTATATATCAAGAGGTCAGGGAGAAGAAAGATTTGAGAGAATCCATAATCCATTTGGGGTTGCGTAAGTAGTGCTATGTTTTTAATATGTCGAACTTGTGGAATGCTTTCCTTTCAGTTGGGACCAGATTCAAAGGACATTATTGAGTGCAACAGCAGGTGTAAGTGTGGACACAAGTGCAAAAATCGTGAGCTTCAAAAAGGCCTGCGATGCTCTCTTGAGCTTTTCAAGACAAAGGATCGGGGTTGGGGAGTTAGAGCGCTGGAGCAAATTCCTCGGTCTCTCTTTCCTCTTTCTGTACTTTATTGTATTTTCGCATTTATTGTACTGTATTTTCGCATTGTGTACTTTATTTGTTCTTAGCTTAATTTTTTTTTTGGTTTGTTTCTTCTGAAATCTCGGCTTTTATCTTCGGGAGAGAACAGGTGGTCTTTGCTTTGATCATTTGTCATGCTCTTTTTCAGCCAAACACCCCATATAAGATTATAACGACTGAAGAATCAGTAATCAATAAGTTATCAGTATGATCCTTCTTCTGTCTAATCGGGTTGTGGAAAAACACTTTTTGACAACAATCAGCTGAGAAAATCTCCTGCCTATCTGGTTTTAACAGATATGTATCTTATAATCCTGACCTCAATTCTTTCTTGCGATTTGCAGGGGAAAGTTTGTGGTGGAATATGTTGGGGATGTTCTAACACAAGCAGAAGCAGATGAGCGAGGCGAGAAGTATGATCAAAATCAACTTAGGTAGTTTAAGTTTCCAAGTTTTCTCGTATTTCTTACCCTGGACAAGTGAATACTGTTTGTTGTATCAAAAATGTGCTTTGTATTCTCCGCAACTTGCCGGCTTACTTTTGTTGCCTGCAGTTACCTCTTTAATCTGGACCATCCTGGAGTGGAACACAGTGATGCTATAGTTTTAGACGGCATCAACATGTCGAACATTGCGAGATTTATCAATCACAGGTGAATTCTAGTATTCCACCGTCTTTGATGTACTTGGAAGCATCGAAGTATGTAGATAGTATGACAAAAGGTGGGGTTTGAACTCTTTACTGTCACGTTTGTCAACCAGCCCGGATCATATCATCTTTCGCTTTATCAAGGATTAACATATTTAGGCTCTGAGAAGCAAATACGTATTTGGCTACTGTCTACTTCCTACTATTTGGAACTCCAGCATTCTCTTGATCCTGCTGATCCTCTCTGAGCAACGTTTAATCTAGTCTAGGATAGATCAATTCTACTCTTGATCTCAACTCTGTAGGTTCGTATATTAGTAACCCTTTTTATTCGGGTTTAAGTTGTCTGAGTAGAAGGAGGGGGGCCACAGGAATAAAACTAATCATCAGCTACTTTTCTACACCACGATCTGTCTTCGAAGATTTGTGTCTAGGGTGGTTGATCTGTTGTGAGGGTCGTAGCTGCCCTTGTATTAGTCATCAGGCAGGCACTAAAAATTCAAGTATGAAAGATCTCATTGAAAGGACCGACTTGTATAATCAATTTTGCAGTTGTGAAGGAAATTTGATGATCTTCAGAGTTTTCTCGGAGACGACCGATTTGCGCTACTTTCGCATTGGGATGTACGCTATACAAGACATTGAGGTTGGAGACGAGCTTTCGTACGACTACAACTACGCATCTTCAAAAGACTCCAGCGAATTAGTGGATGATCCGACCGCAATTCGCTGTTTTTGTGGTGCCCTGTCATGTCGCAAATGGCTGTGGCAGGGTGCTGACAGCGGACTAAAACATTGAAAAAATCAACATTTTTTGCGCGAGACCTACTTAGGAAGTAAATAAATTTTGTCACACTTCTATGATTTAGGACGCAGATGAGGAATTGTACCATTATTTTCGGGAAAACGTTTTACAGGGTTGAGGGTCGAGAATTAGGTAGTGGACATTCCGTAATTAGGGAAACGAGACACTGAAAAGTCTTCAACTCACTTCCTTGCCGTGGAACAATTTTGAGCTGGTTAGCTACAAATGTTCTTCAAGACGATTGTAAATTAAGATACTCTGCGTTCGTTAAAGATATCAAATGTGCATATCCTTTTCATTTGATCACTAATTCAGCTTGCAGATTATCCACCCAACTCCTGTTTATTCACCGAGCAAATTCCACTGGGCGAATAATAGGTTTTCCAACCTCCACGCAGTTCAACACACACTGGGTTTCAAGTTTTTGCTTCATGTGTCCTGGAGTTAGCAGAGTCTATTTTGAGAAACAAGAGGACCTGGTGAGGATGTAATGAGGGCTACATGGATCGATAGTGAAACTTTTACTCTATTGTTTATGAATACAGATTTGTGCTTCCACACACCTTCCGACCATCGTGGCTTCCTCGGTAGGCATTTGATGTTACTTGTTTATGCCCCTGATGCTCTAGTGCATCTTGAACTGCAGTATAGCTTCCCCAAGAGGCGGTAGTTCATACGGAGTACATGGTCATCCAAGGTTAACTTTGTTAACTTTATGTGAAGGCCTTTGAGATGAAGTTTGTGGGTAAGCTTCATCATTCGCTTCACAACCAAGTTGAGAGACTTCATGTGGCACTTGAGGAGCTGTCTCGCGAGAAGTATCGGCAGCTGGAAGAGCTTGCTGCATAGCTGGTGGAACATCTCTTCGCCCGTTGTCGCATTGAAGCGCATGTCAGAGAGATGAGAAAGAAAATGATATTGTTGGTCAAGACTTGAGTGAGCTTTATTATGTTACCAACAATTGTATGCTACATATCGTACTGTCGGACATAGAAACAAGAGAGAATAAGTTATCAAATAGCTTTCAATCGCCAATCGTGTTCAACAAGGAAGATGCACGCCAAGCGGTCTTTATATCCACATCCGAATAACCAATGCATTAGTCCTGCATTGTTCATCTTGACTTCTACATGTTTTTTTAATTAATCCTTACCCCTCAGTTTTATCTTCATTCCATCGAGTCTTGCTTTATTCATCTTGACTTGTACATGATTTTTGACGTATCCACTTGCATACCGCGCCACTACATCTGTGTATTTTTTTAATATTAAATTGTCCATTGTGCAAGTATTGAATGTGGTACAATCAAACATACGAATGATTTATGAAATGATAAGAGCATTCAGAGATTTCCCAAAAAATTAGTATACTAGTATCAGAGTTCAACATCTTACTTCAAATTTTTATCCCTATTCAGATCATAACCATCAGCACCTAACTATGCCCATCCAATTGCTCTTCGTAAAAATTGGTCCACTTTTGAATCCCTCTACTTATCAAATCACTTCTCTAACTTCATGTTAGACCATCGTTTTAACAAAAGAGTGAACAAAAGAGATTTATGGCAAAAATTATGAACATATGAAGAATTTTTTTTTTTCATGAAATTTTACAAAAAAAGTAAATAGTATATTTTTCATGATCATATAAGGTTGATATTTTTTTTATCAATGCATTACTTTGTCTTGAATCCATATCTTGTATAAATATTCTCTACATCTTTCAATGTAAAGATGAATTCTCAAATTTCCTTATACTACTTCAATGTCGCAATCACCGTGTCCATGACCAACAAGTCTTTAACAAAAAAGATTTTATCTACCAATTGATAAACTCTCTTATCATATGCTTGAGACATGAAATCAGCAATAGCATACTTCTAATTGGAACATTCATTGATGGTTTAATCAAACTTTGCTAGTAGTAACTTACATCTAGTTATATTACCCTATATAATTATATTGAATCTTCCATCCAACAAATAATATCAAAAAAATTTAACCTAAAAGATTATAGCCAAAGCATCTCTTTCTATCACGAAGTAATTTCACTTTGTTTGCACCATCTATCAACTAGCATACACAATTGGATGATGATGTTTTTCATCAATGTTATTAAGATGCATTCTACAATAATATTTGATGCATTTGTATAAAAAGTAAAAATTAAACCCAATCTGATTTTGCCAAAATTAAACTGTCATCAATGTCTTCTTGATAACATCAAAGATCATTCATGATACTTAATTCTTGAAGATAAGTTAGTTTTCCGTCATTTTCTTTATTTGGTTGTCAAAGCATAAATTATAAAATTGATAATTATATGTGTGTTATATTTATATAACTATCTTTGGTAGTCATAGTTGACATGATTAGGTTAGTCGTGACTTAGTTTAGTTAGTGATGAATAAGTTTGGTCATCAAGTTTATACTCGAAAGAATAATTAAGAGAAGATGATGTTGAGACTCCAATAATTTTTCTCTCTAATGCAATAATCTTATTTTTCATGACTTTTTGCTTTGTGTGTTCATCTATTATTGATGTTCTCAATTTTTTCATCTCAACCATGAATTTATTGAGAATTTGAAATTCTAATGCCAAATGAAATCATATTAAACTCTAGAGCTAAAAAACATACCTTGTGTAAAATCAAATAAAATTTTATTTTTACGTTTTTTGTAAGATAATTTGTACGAAATTATATTATATAGAATGATAACATAGTGTATATAATTTTAAAGTCAATGTGATAAAATTGATAATATAAGTTCATATAAATAATTATTATTTAAAAATAATAATATATTAAATTATTACCAATTTACATAAAATAATCCAATAAAATGTGATTTATTATTTTATTTACCTAAAATTAAAATATATATTTTTATCATATATTTCATATATATATTTCATTATCATACAGATTTCTATATATATAGATGTTCATATCTCAACATGAGGTGAATCCATGTCAATATAGATCTTATGATCATGAATCAGACATTGATCTTATACATGTGACTTTAGACATGTTATACATATATTTCAAACGGAAGACTGGAAGGAAAAGATATGATGTATGTGTTTGAAAGATATATATTAAAAAAAATATAAACATTCTATGTATCATTTTGTTTCAAAATTTATGCTTCATCTTTGAATGAATTACAACGTTATAATGATATTAGGATTATTTTGCCATTTCTTTGAAAGTGAATTATTCCTCACGGAATAACAAGTGAATAATGATAAAGCGTAGTTCTTGAGAGTGTATAGAGATTGCAAATATCATTGATGTGCATGTAGGAAATAAGGAAAGAAAAGAAAAGATTGTGATTTTAAAATTATGTATGTGCTTGAAAAAATTACATTAGTTCTACGGTAGGTCTCGAATCTATCCTATGTTCATCTTTTTTGTATGAAAATTTTCATTTTTGGATGAAAATTGTGAGTTATGGGAATGCAAATTTTATAAATCAAGTGATGAACTGGAAAATGACCTTGATACTTCCAATAATTTGTTTTGGAGATTCCTCAGATTGTACTATCTATATTATATATTGAATGTTTGATAAATTTGAATCATAAATCAGACGTTTTTATTCGATTGAATACATATGTCGAGATTAGAATAAAATAATATAGAAAGATTTTTTGTGAAAAAATATTGGAAAGAGTATTATAGAATTGTATTAGAATACCAACATCATTTGTGACTCATTTGTTGAGAAATTAGATAATTATTATATATGTTTTGTATGAGAGTGAATGAAAAAAGAATCATTTGATATATAAATATATCAGAAGCTATATATATTCAAAAAAATAAGAGTGAAATCTAAAATTAGTTATCATTGAAATGTCAATTACTAACATATCATTTATCATTATAAGTACAACAAAATTTTATAAACGCAATCAAGACATGAAATATTTTATCTAAATCTAATTACAAATATTATAATATATTAATATGAAGTTCATTTTCAGTAATATATGATAAAATTCTGTATTAAATTTAAGGTAAAATACATTAAAAAATCATTTTTACTTTTTATAATTATATTATAATTTTTATAAATTATATTTATTTATATAAATCTATTTTATCAATTTTAGAACACTACTTTCAAATTACATACGCATTTTCTTCCGTACAAATTATTTTTCAAAATATTTAAATTATTTGGTTTTACACATGGATTGTTTTCTAGCTCTAGAGATTGATATGATTTCATTTGGCAATAGAATACTATACTTATATATATGCAATATATACTTACTATATATGCAAGTATTTTGCATACTGTAAACGTTTTCAGATAAAAGTGGTCAATAATTGCACAAAGATTGTGATGTTCTCAATATAGTATTTAAATGATTCATTTCAATTTATTGTATGCAAAGCATGATCATATGCAATCCTAAACACTTCTTAGACATCTCAATGACGTTTTGAAAACCAAAAATTATGACGCAAAAATTATAGATTTGAGTATGACGAGACATTGTGAAAGAGTAAAATTGAAATTGTGCACGTTATAAATCTAGGTTTAACACATGTTTTCAAGTTCGATGAAACTATCTAAGGTGTATTAAAATACTATTTTCAAACTTCATCACAATACAGATAGAATTACTATTGCTTGTATAACAAATTGTCAATAGCTTATTCATCACTATTGTATAGGCGCTACAATTTATTTACTGGAAGCATTCACTTGTTCAGATATTATATGATATTGCATTCTCTTGACTCAAATAGACTCTTTATGTTAGGTGTTTTGGACATTGAAATCTAATCATATAAGTAGATTTGATTTGTCTGAAGTTTATAAAAGTTTATATGTGTTTTTCAATTAGTATCAAATGAAATATATTATTTCCGTATCTTTTTCTATACTCTGCTTGAAAAACACCTAAATGAACAAATTTTTTTGATATTTAATTATGAATCAAAATATTAATAATACAAAATGAAATATGTGTGTTACATGAATGAAAGTGGAATTTTTAAAATTTTATTGAACTTTTGTTCTTATTCAGAAAATACAATCATGTATTTTTTGTTTATATTAAATTAGTATTTTCCTTTTTCAATACGCGTTCTATGCATTTTCTACAATAAAAAAGACATAAGAATTTTTCTTCTTACTCTTCAATCATAAATATTATTTTTTTTGTGAATTATACTAAAATAAAACTTAAAAACGAAAAATATAAAATGAATATAATTAAAATGTTAACACAATTCTTCTAAACTATATGTAATGAAGACTAATAAATATTTGTATATTCTGCATGATTCCATATTTTAAAATC